GTTCTCATTTTGGGTTAGAGTTTTCAGTGTAAATGTTATTGGTAAGTGGTCAGAATCGGGTCTATTAACTATGGAACAATCACTACACAGTTCAAAATTGTCATAACATGTTAGGACGTAATCAATTACACTGGCACCTGTAAGTTTAATCCATGTAAAATGGCCTAGTCCTTTATCTTCAAATAATCGGCCATTAAGAATTTTTAAATCAAAGTTTTTACATAAATCTAGTAATAAATGGCCAAATGGATTAATTGCACGATCCTGGGAAGACCTTTTTGGCAACTCAGGTTCTGGTATATTTACTTGATCAGCGAAAAAATCTCTGTTATCATGTTCAGTAAAGTTTTTTCATTACATGTGGCTCATTTAAATATGTTAATGACGGTTCAGTGACCTCATGATGAACGCAACGCGGTAGTAGATTTACCGATGTTGTACAAGATCATTATGCTTTGATTTTGACAGGGAAAACAGCATGATATTTTTTTTAAATCAAAAAATTACATAGTTGTTTTAAAAAAATAAACTGAGCATTCAAAGAATAATTTAACATTGTTCACAGAAATAACAGCTCATTGTCGAAACGAAGCTTACCCATTCACGCTATTCACAATAAACATGATACTCTTGAATAGGTGTCAATGACTACGGTAAAATATAAATTAGACTCTTTTAGGCATCAGGAGTGAATGAAATATCAAAAATATTAAAAAAAGAAAACTAAAAAAAAAATGCCCCAAAAACGCCGGGAGATTTCATGGTACGCTGCAGACTGTACTTGACCGACCATCCATACACCTGTTGTCACTGTACATGCGCCATGTTGAATCGCACAAGATCGGCAAAATCTTCATTACAACTAACAGTTTAATGTTCACAACATTATACGAATATAATCATAGGCAACCTGCTATTATATAATGAATAAATTGATCGACACAGGGACATTCTTCCCCCCTGAGTTGAGATATTTTGGAAATCAAGCAAAAGACCGAAAAATGATTTACTTGAAAACTATGTCCTCGTGAATTAATCGTTCGTGTACAATAATTTGACAGGGTATACAATTTACAAACTAGTTTCGTAGATAGGAGACAATTGTTTGCTTTTTTGGCTTTTCACAAGAATATAAAGCTGGCAATCATCATAATATTCACGTCCGTACGTCACGGAATGTATACCAATTGTACCCCAATATAAATTCAATTTTGCTGAAACTGGAAAACTTACCTTTGACTTATTTTTGACAAGTTGAATGAAAAATATAGAAAAAGGGGTATATTCGCTGGATTGTATTTTAACTGAAACATTCCTTCAGCGAAAATAGCGAAAAAAAGTTGCAAGCGAAAATAAAGTATTATACAGTAGTTAATTTATTCTGAGCATGCGCAGTCGTTCTGTCAATATTGCCGGGAGATTTTCAGATTTAGAAAACAAATTGTGTGCCTACTAAACATATTATTGTTAATCAATCTGCCAAGTTTCACTGATATCTGCTGCAGAATTTCTTAGAAAATGTTGGAGACGGAAAATGGACAAAACCTGAATTATAAAGTCCCCTTTTCAGGCTGCGCCTGAACGGGTACTAATTACTTACCTACATACATAGTCTGTAACATTGCTAATGCTTTACCACCAGGAGCAGCACACATGTCTAAAATAACATCATCTGGTTGTATATCAAGTGCAATAACAGGTAAAATTGAACTGGCATCCATAATGTAATACGCCATTGTACCTATTGCAGCATCATAATATGGATTAGTAAACCGTTGTTCATTTCCATGTATGAAGCACTTAAGATGTGGGCTAACATTAAAGTCATATTTAATGGTATTAATTTTATTTGGAATATGATATGTTTCAAATTCAGTCTTGTGTGATAAATGTGATGATATCCGTGCCGCATCTCGTCCAATATACTCAGTGTTTGGGGAAATATAAAATTCTTCATCTTGTTTGTTATGTTTAACGTCAGTGTTCATGTCTATAACTACAGTACTGTCATCTTTGCTTTCATCAATGTGTTGACATGCTTGTCTAAGTCGTATTGCACCATCATGTACAAAATCTGTGGCATCCTGCTCTGTTAGAAAATTCAAAAAATCTTCATTTTGACAAAAATTGTTGATAAGAGCACCATACTTTTGTTTAGAGAGTAGAGCAATTCTGATGGCTGGCCACAAATCTGAATATTGTTGTCTATATAATGTATCAAAATGTGATAAAGCCATAATACTTGGTTGGTTTTTTTGTAGTGATGTTGTCTGAAAACAAATCAAGAACTACAGATATTAATTATGCAGATTTACCCTTTAAAAATATACTACAAAATGTAATAGAAAATATTCACAAATGATATTACCATATTCTCCAGACCAATGTCAAAACTTATTATATACCTGGTATTGCTCTGCCTTTTAATAGTGTTAATATTCTTAAAGCCATGAGAAACCTCACTCACGCTGTGCAATAATTTTCCATAACATGCCAAGCCGTTATTTGGACAAACATAGATTTAAAGCGTGCACTCTGAACTTCCGAGCTGGTTCAAGTCAGTTATCATAACATAGCATTGTAGCTGAAATTCATAGCAAACTTGTTTTGATACTACAGAATTATATTGTTAGGTTTTCGGGTTCACCTTTATAAAAACATTGATGAAAATACAGACATTTGAGTGATTATGCATTGTGGATAGAACGCTTACACGCTGAGTTGATGTTTCATTTATTTTTCATGGAACCTGAGGTATATAACAAAACATTTATGGACTAGATACAGCTTTTGCAGCTGATAAAGATTAATAACACACCAGATTATGTATAAAATTAAAAGATTATCAAGTTCATAACAATGCCTTTAGCATATAGCACCACAGCAAACTCATCAATAGTCTTTTATGCTGCTGCAAAATTCAAGCCCTGCTTTTATTTCTTGCTTTGTCTTGTCTTGTACCTATACTTTTATCACAAAATCGGTCATAGCATATCAGAATCAAAGAAAGCTTAGAAAGAACTCCCGTGTGCTGAGAGTATTGGAGACACATTAAAAATTAATTCAAAATTACTTGAACTTGATATATTGATGGAAACGCAGAAAACTAATTATGCAAATAAGGTAACTAATATGAACAGATTTAAGTGTAAAACTAATAAGGTCTGCACAATGTACCAAGTTTCATTGAAACGTGATTAGAACCAAAAAATTATTAATTATTATGCTAATTAGAGAATTAATATAAACAGATTTTAACCCAAAATTAATCAGGCTGTCTATTGTCCTAGAGCATTTATGTACCAAGTTTTATTCAAATGTGATGATCAATACTTGAGATATCAGTATTAATTAATTATGTTAATAAGTGATTAAGAAACATAAATATTTACCAAAAACTATCATGGTGTATAGTCCTAGGTTCATTGAAATGTGATGGGTACCCTATAAAAGTTTCATTAAAATCCAATGAGTGGTTTTTTAGACAGTTCACTGCCACAAAACAGCGAAAAAATTAACTAATTATGCAAATTAGGTAATTAATATGCACAATTATTTATCCCAAAA